ATGCAGGAAATAGCATTTTAGAGGGTCAAGATTTCGAAATTTTCCCGGGGGAGGTTTGCCGTGTTGAGAGCTCTACATGGTATTACGATGACGGAAAAGAATTTAGGCTGGCTAACAAGTTAATGTATCTATACGAATTCAGCTCATTAAATTTATTTGTTGAAAATACAAGTGGTGGATCAGAGAAACCTGTTTTCTTAATATCAGATGATAGGTAGTTTATAGTCTTATTGTAATGTATAGATTCCTAGCACTTTGCATTAGAATATAGTGTACCAGTATGAAATACTCATGTTTTACATACTGGATATCCTCTTGTGCATTTAGCCCATCTGGGCAAGAACATGCAATAAAGATTCATATCAATATCTGTATTGATTATCATCCTAAATAAGATGCAGAATATATTCAGAATACATTACAATGTCATTGACTAGTACTCTGGACAAGAAGAAAATTAATTTGAAGTATACATAATTTGATATTTGTATCTTACCGTAGGGTCGTTGTGGAAGAGCTGGGGCATTTGGCACGTACATCAAATTGGGGGTGAGGTCGTTGGGCGAGATTTTGGGATGTGCAATGGATGGATCTCCGATGTTTTGTATGTTGCTGTCATCTTCGATAGAAATTGAAACATCGGCACTATTTGATGGCCCACATCCTGCTAACGTATGGGTGGTATCGCTACCACTGGTTACGTTTGGTGCATCTTTTATGTTCTCAGGGGCATCTTTCGTTTGTGTCTCTTTAGGACCAGTCTCGCAAGACCACAACTCATCTTGGCCTAATGCTACAGCGTATGGTTGAAAGTTGCCATCATCAGAGGCAATGTCATTGCTTGGTTCGTTGCCACGTATCTCGTTGCTACCATGTTCAACGTCCCTGCTGTCAATACCAGCGCATGATTCGGTGCAGGGGTCGCCATTCTCTTGGATAGCGGACCCGGAGACTGATTCAGATAGGACGGTTGGCATTGAATTGCAGGTTTCATTGTATTGGGTGTATATGGGATTACGAAATTCAGGATCCAGGTCGTTTATCATGTACATCGGATTCGGGTCCAGGGATTTTCCCTCGGACACTGGAGTTGGGCCTTGGGATTTTCCCTCGGACACCGGAGTTGGGTCCAGGGCTTTTCCCTCGGACACCGGAGTTGGGTCCAGGGATTTTCCCTCGGACATCGGAGTTGGGTCCAGGGCTTTTCCCTCGGACACCGGAGTTGGTTCCAGCGATTTTCCCTCGGACACCGGAGTTGGTTCCAGCGATTTTCCCTCGGACATCGGAGTTGGGTCCAGGGCTTTTCCCTCGGACACCGGAGTTGGTTCCAGCGATTTTCCCTCGGACACCGGAGTTGGGTCTAGGGATTTTCCCTCGGATATCGGGTTTGGGTCCAGGGATTTTCCCTCGGACACCGGAGTTGGGTCTAGGGATTTTCCCTCGGACACCGGAGTTGGGTCTAGGGATTTTCCCTCGGACATCGGGTTTGGGTGATTATCCATTCAATTATTAGAGTCGGTTGTTTATTACCCCTGGAGAAATGCAATTGTAGAAAAAAAAACTATCCAACGCACAATCATGTACATGTATACTTGGAAAAAGAAAGCGGTAAACGGTATAAAATCTAGCACCAATATACAAGTACTGGTCAAATATTTTCTCTCCAACTTGTTCCCTGTGCGATTTAAAAATCTGATTTTAACTGAAACATCAGGAAATAACAATAACATTACAATAGGAACAATAGGTAATGAAGTAAAACACTTTTTGTACTCACGGAGTCCACGGTACGTAGGACTCTAGAAACTATGTATGAGGCACCGACAACTACTATCTGAAAACGCTGGACTCAGGTCTAGTTTTCAGCACCGGCTTGTTGGTTGTACCCGGCTGACTGAGATTTGATGCGTGGTGTTATAGGTCTTTAAAAGTTTTAATTCAACGGTTGGGACGAACCATTCTTTTCGAGGGCGGACAAGCGTCGATTGTATAAAATTAGATTTTGTGGATAATCTAATTTTTGATGGATAAAAATGGATCTTCTTAACAAGCATACTGATAACTTGTTTGATAAGGGGAAATGAGGAGAGCGACACGATAACATATAGAGAGAAAACGTTTATGAAAACCTTCTAGCTCATACGTTCAGTGGAATGTTTTGAATGGATTTGCCAGAATTTTGAGCCGACAGACAAATGAAACCACAAGGTTACGTAATTCATGCACAAAAATACTGCTACAATTTACTTGGTAAAACTGTCCAGGG